CTCACTCACTCACTCTCTCACACACACACACACACACACACACACACACACACACACACTCAACTGAACTGAAGAAAATAAATGTGTCTCTCAGTGGAGATTGGCGTATACAGTAAATTAACCTCTTCTGACTTCCTCCAATTCATTTGCTTGAATTCTTCACCTCCTCTCTGCATTCATTAATACACCCTCCCTATTACCTCCATTCATCTATTCTCTCATACAACTGCCTATTCACTCCTCTTCCCTCTATCTGTGCACAGACGTCCTCCAGCTGCCTCTTTCTTTGCAGGAATTAATTTAGTCAGAATAAGAAACAAAGGCAGTGCAGCAGTTATTTTCAACTCCCACCAGAATGACCTCATATGGCCACGATGGATAGGAGATGTTTACCTGAAAGCCAGCGTTGAGTCTGGGCATGGAGGCAGCTCTGCTGTGACCCTCCAGCACAGGATACCCGCCCACATCAGAGTCATTCTCCATGTCAGTCATCTCAACTAATTCCTGCAACACACGCAGAGCCAGACAAAACAAACACTGTTTAACTGACCTGTAAATGTCTGACACGTGTAACTTAAACAGGACTGATTCAGGAATCACTAGTAGAGGTCAAATCACCTGAGATCTGTATGTGTTTGGCACGTCTTCCGATTGGCCCCTTTGGACAGGCCTTCTGTTTGCTTCCTGTGTGACTTCCTGAGGTATGTCTCCTGAAGGAGACGTTTTCATGGCACTGCTCTGGCTTTGTCTGTGGCATACATACAGTAAAATTAAAAAAGAAAAATTCAAATGGAAAGCATAGTACTATAAAGACCAGAATGGTAGAACACCCACACTGCATCCCCATTGGTCAGGTGAAAGGATGTGGGCGGGGCATCTGGCTGTGGTGTGGTATCTAATTGAGGAGAGGGCGGGGCTTTTAGCACTAGTGGCTCCTGACCGTGCAAGTGTGTGAGAGGCAGCATTGGTCTGAAGAGAACTCCAACTTTACTCTGAGGACAAAACACAACACTTTCAGAAGGACTACATTAAAAATTAATAACATAATTTGATAATAAAATATGGCTAAAAATCTACATTTAATAATTAGAATTGTACAGATAAATGTAGTTATTTGTAGATCCTCTACCTGTGTGCCTGGTGCAGCCTGCTGCTGTTGGAGTCTTTTGGCTCGGTTCTGCTTATAATAGTCGAAAATCATGAGAGCAGCATAGACCTTCCCAACAGTCAATTCATTATCTAAGAGAGAGTGAAATGCACATGAAATACCAAATGGACAGAAGTGCAGGGAGAAAATCGATGTCCACTAGGTGGCACCAAAAGCTCAGAAGTCACAAGCAAAATCAGGGTGAATAACTCAGGTGAAAAATGTCATCAGTATCGTTAATGAAAACTCAAGCTCCAATGAGCATTTAATTAAGATTCCATTTAAATTTTAAGTGCTTTCTAAACCAAAATCAACATTACTTTAGCAAGCGTTTCTAAATGCAGGGCTTACGTTTATGAGGTGTCACCAGCAGGTCCACTGTTTTTGAAGACAAGTTAGTCCAAATTTTATTTATTTCCTTCCTTAATTCAGCATCACAAAGCCGCTGAGCCAGAACTCCTAAAAAAAATACACAATGTTAACAGTATCGGTCACACTTTATTTTAAGATCCAATTCTAGCTATTAACAAACCATTAACTACGACTTTTGCCTTAATAAACTCCTAATTTGCTGCTTATTAATAGTTTCTAAGGTAGTTAAGGTTAGGTATTGGGTAGAATTAGGGATGTAGTATATGGTCATGCATAGTGTTACCACAGTATCTAACAGAGTCTTTCATAATTCTTGTCCTTAATATCCCCACAAGATTTTTTTTGTCAAGCTGTTAATGGATGTTATCTTATTCTTTAATCATATTTTGCACCAAGTAAAAGGTTAAATAAAAGTAAAAGTCAGCGGGGAAAGCGTCATTCAATTAACTTGTAACACTTTTAAGATGGTGGAGTATTAAATTAAACGAGGCTGATGGAACAGAGCAGTGACTGGTGAAAAGTGCTGCTGGAGCAGATGGACAGTTAAAGGAGCTTTTGACAAATGCCAGTGACTGGCCCTGAGGGCTCCAAGTGGACACTCACCTGATGCCAGTTTAATCTCCAGGGCAGTCCGGATGAGAGCCATTAAAGTGGAGGTAAAGTGAACCGTACTATCTTCAGCTATGGGCATGTTCATCCTCACCAACCGCTGTGGAGTCACGGACACAGATAGTTTGTGATTAATATCACACATGACTGCAGGATACAGAAATGACCATTACAAATGACAGGAGGAGTTTGCATGCTGAGGGAGAGTAGTGACTTGGTCTATGTAATTTCCCTTTCATCAATAGTCATTTCCGAACTCTCATCTCAGCACACAAATTGTCTCTTCAGGACATCAAAATGCGAGGAGGGAGAGAGTGTGTTTATATTTCATGCAGAGGATAAGTGATGTTGGAAATGGAAGATGTTTTGCCGCATTTCTCCAGTTAGCAGACAGTAAAGCTGTTTTTGTCACACTAAGAACAGTGTGAGCTTTAGCCATTATTGGAGGTTCACAGGTTTCTCAGTAAATGCGATTACATAAACAATCTTACAATGATTATGCTTAATAACCTGACAATGTATAAGATCATATGAACACTTTGAGCTGTTTGTGTGTATTTTAACAGGTTTAAGCAAAAACTGCTGTGACTTCAATTGGGGGTAAAATATGGACCCTGAAAAATCAAACTTATAATATTCTTTATCCTTTGTATTTGAGGTCTCAGTAATAAATACTGCCAGTTTGCATGCGGGCAGCTATGACTATCCACGTAGAGAATGCAAATGCACTAGTTCATGCGCACTGAAATGTGAAGTGTTGATGGGCTGCTTTTCTTGTGTTTTTACAAAGTCAGCGATGACCTTCAGAAAGGATGATGACCAAAGAGCGAGAAAAGATAACATGCTGACCAACCAAAACCAATAGCCACAAATGCACCAACCACAAAAATGCGTCACTCAAGGTGAAGCCAGAGTAGACGCTTCACATATTAACACACCCAGCATTAATTATAGTGTTTAAAATAAAACCGATGCAAAATAAACAGAGAATGGATCTGTTTCTGTTGTGTAGCGTGAAGGAGCGTAACATCATGCACAGGGACAACGCTCTGCCTTCATTAGAGTGCATAGGCCAGCATAGACATCTTTCCACAACAACTACCAATGAAAAAGGGAAAGGACGCTCCACTGAGCACACATCTACAGCAAGCTTTCTTTCTTTCCTCCCTGTTGATTCAGTGCTCTGAACTCGGGGGAAGTGGGGGCTTGTTCTATTTCGAGCTCGCTGGAGAACGTCGCATCCTCAAGCCTTCACACACGCAGACTGTGTGGCTTCAGAGAGTAGCTCTTGAACGTTACCCATTCAGACAGCTGGAACAGGGTGTGTAAACTTATTGACTCGGAGGCAGCTCTCAAAGTGGCAGAACGGCCTGCGACCAAAACAGGCAGCCCTGTACCAGCGACGCTTAAGATTCAGTTTTGATATTCAGATTTTTTACTTCCTAGTTTCTTTTATACAGTGAAAGACAAAGAATGCAACAATTTTAGTACTGCTGCAGATGAAATTGAGTGCTGACTCTGTATTTATTCTTCTGTGTACTTTTGCTCTGTTTTGAAATCTACTGTGCTGCCTATGTAGACAGAATTTTCAGGGCGTTCTCAAGACAAAACCCCTTAGAGTTTTCTATCAACACTAGTGAAAAAGAAATATACTAAAATGTATTTGAAATACATTTATTGCATGCTAAGAATACTACAAACACATTTACATATTTATGTGCTTAATAAAAACACCCTGCAATTGTACTTTTAGCAAACTAAACTGGTATACTTAAAGTCTGCCAAGTTGGAACAACTAATTTAGTGCTTAATGCACTTTAATTGTGTGAAAGTTCAACTAAAGATATACTGAAGTATATTTGATTGTGCTAAAGTGGAACTATTGCAATTATACTTCAGGTACACTTCAAATATCTTGCATTTAAAGACCAGCTTTATTCAAAGATCATATAAGCCTCATCAATAGTGACATTAAACACATTTTAGTCTTAATATTAAGAAATGTGCATTGTGCACAAGTAGTACTCCAAATAAAGTTTAATTATAACTTTTATATCAGTCAGTCTCGAGCGATATGTCAGTAAATAAATTAATAGATTTGAACTATACTTAGTATGAAATAAATGTATTTTTTTACTAGGGAAATCTAGAGTTTCATTACCATCCATCAGTGAGATCAAAAGGCACATAAAAAAAAGAGCACAACAAAGCCACACACACAAAAAAACACTTCCACAATTAGAGCACTAACTGATCAGCCAATGAGAGGACAGAGGAGGAGCTAAGGAACAGTCAGGGGGGTGGGATCTACCTTATAGGCGATTCTTGGAGGACATTTCTTTCCCAAACCTAGTGGAGGGGACATGTGGCGAAGCATCTCGTACATTTCGAGGTAGGACATGCGTCCACTTCAGAGGGGTGAGTTCAAAGGTAACACAGACAACAAAAAGGAGAAGGAAGTAGTAGTGGAGAACATGAAGAAAATGTGACATGAATGAAAGAAATAAAGAAAAAGGAACAAACAAAAAAAACATCGTTATCAAGGATTCTGAAGGAAGGTCAAGGGTATCCGATACCATCCTGTCTCAGAAGGACGGATGGATCACGCCTGCTTTTAAAGCTACAGGCTACCAGTGATCCAGGGATGAAGAACATGGCATGATGGGATTGGGCTGCAGTCTGGAGCTTCTGTCCTTGCATGCTAGGACGCACCACGGCTAACCAATCAGATACTCAGGAACAAAGCTAATATTTGGTCTAATTTAAAGCAGAGCAAATAAAAGCTGCTCTAGTACATCGATATTTACGATAAGTGAACGTATGGGATTCGTTTGGGATGAGGGATTTAGCATTTGGCTTTGTTTCCTGGTTACCATGGTTACCCATATTAAAATTAGTAAGGAAAGAGGGGGAGTATAATCCAATCAGACATTAGCACTTTCAGGCATTTTATGGGCATTCATTTTTCACAGCACCGCCCCCTGGAGGGAAGGTGTGTTTTCAAACCTTGTATGCCACCCTATTAGGGCACTTCTTTCCTAAACCAAGAGGGGGTGAGATTACACGCAACAAATTGTACATATCCATATAGTGTATCCTTCCGCTGCAAAAAATAAGATGTGTTAAAAAGACACAGTTTAATACATTTTTCCACATTCCGCCAATATTTAAAGACTTCATGCTTATTGAGATAACTACGCTCAGCTGTGCATTTTTTAAAGTTAAAATGGATTACACTGACAGAGAGGATAGGCTTCAAATCCGTTCTGCTCAATACAGACTAAAAGTGGATGGCATGCAAAGGATAAATTCGCATTCCTCAGCATAGACAAAGCTTGAGGATTTGATGTTAACCATGGTCACACAGTCAAATGGGATTCTTGTGACTTAAGGCTCTGATTAAATCAGACACAGCGCCAGTGGTGTACCCTCTTAAACTGGCATCTTTCAACCACTTAGTCTCGAGTTGTCACATTTTTTTAAAGTGGCACTAACTGCCAGCGACACCGTGGAGGAGTGATACGCACCAGGCGGCAGGGTCGTACTCAGCCCAAACACGGATGAACTCATCGAGGTGATGAGGCCCGAGAATAGAAGCGTCACGTGTTAGGTACTCAAAGTTATCCATGATGACAGCGACGAACAGATTCAGCATCTGATGGTTGTAGGATAGAGGACGAATTATGTAAAACAGGAGAAGAAATCTCAATTAAATAAAAACAAATCTTAGAATTATGTATAACAGATTAATTTTATTTTTTTACAAGTGGTGTCTTGTTGGCTAGACTTTATAGGAAGTTTGCACTCATGAAAGCTGCTACACTGTGCAATTTAATGTTTTGTTTCATTTGTGCATATACATTAGTGGTCAACATTTTGGGCTAAGTTTTTATTTATTAATTTTATTTAATTTTTTTCAAAAGAAAACACATTTGATCAAAAATACAGCAAAACAGTAATATGAAATATTATTACAAATTATAAAGCTGTTTTCTATTTAATCCACTTTAAAAAACAAAGTAATTTATTCCCTGTGATGGCACTGCTGAATTTTTAGCAGTCATTCAGAAATCTATTTAACATGCCGATTTGGTACTTAAGAAACATTTCTTACAGGTGCATCTCAATAAATTAGAATGTCGTGGAAAAGTTCATTTATTTCAGTAATTCAACTCAAATTGTGAAACTCGCACAATTTGAGTTGAATTACTGAAATAAATGAACTTTTCCACGACATTCTAATTTATTGAGATGCACCTGTATTATTATCATCACAGTTTTTATAGAAATTGATAAATTTTTTAGTCTTCTTTGATGAATATAAAGTTCAAAAGAACAGCATTTATTTTAAATAGAACATTTTGTAACAATATAAAATCTTCACAGTCACTTTTGATAAACTTAATGAGTCCTTGAACAAAAGTATTAATATATATTATTTCTAAAAAACAAAACAAAAAACACAATTGCCACTGGGGGACCATAGGCAGGCTAGGGGAACTCATATTAATGTTAAAAAACCTCATAAAGTGACATTTTCATGCCATGGGACCTTTAAACAAAAACAAAATTCTGTCATCATTTACTTACTTTCATGTCTTTCCAAATATGTATGACTTTTGTTTTCCTTGTGGAAAACTAAAAGATAACTTGAGCAGAATGTCCAAGCTGCTCTTTCTATACACTGAAAGTGAATGGGGACCAAAGTTTGACAAGTTCAAAAATAAATCCCTAACTTCTGCATTTCATTTCAAGCATTCTACAGTAGTAAAGTAGCTTTTTGTGAGAAACTAAATTGTCATTATTTGCTGACAATCAAACTTGACAACTGTGGTCACCATTCACTTTCATTGTATTCAAAAGAGCAGCTTGGACATTTGGCTATAAATAGCTCTTGTGTTCCACAGAAGAAAGTCATAAAGGTCTGAAACAACATGAGGGTGAGTAAATGATGACAGGATTTTCATTTTTGAATTTGTGTGTCTGTTTGTATTTGAGATTTGTTCCACTAACCAGGAAGGAACAAAGGAAGATGAAAGAGACAAAGTAGAAGTAAGCAAAGTCACTGCCACACTCTTTTCCAGTAAATCCAGAGTCACGGTCACATGGCCTTTCACTCAGACAAGACAGCATAATTTCATGCCAAGTCTCCCCTGTAGCACTCCTGTAACATACAAATAGTGAGAGGCAGAAACTATAGATTCACTTGTACTAATTTTTAACAGTTGTGAGAGCTGATATTTTAAGACTGAACAAATGAAACAATGACTTTACCTGAACAACAACATGAGGGCCTGAAAAAATGTTTGGAAGTTATTATGGATGTTGATAGCCGACTCCTCGGACAACATGATATTACCAAACACCTGACATAGAGAGAAAAGCATGTCAGCATTCTAATTTTGGATGCATTACAGAAAATGCAAGCATTTTTGGTGGAGATAGGCTGAGAATTACATAGTGCAATGTGTGCACTTTCCTATTGAGCCTGCATGAAAATACCTGCAGGGACTGTGTCAATAATTCAGACTGCCTGGAGGGTATGTGACAGTAAGCATCTGCAGTATTAACAAGGCCACATACACATTTTCCATAAAGTGTGACTCGTGCTTATGAATTTTATAACTTTATATCAGACAGCAGACATGCAAACAAACACACCGACTCTACAGAGTCGCAATGCACTGACAGGCAGTAAAACAAATCACAATAATCTGTCAGCCACATACATTACAAAAGCACATCCAGTGACCATGGATGGACACAGTCTTTTAAAGTGGCATCCATATAGTAATAAAAAAATACATTTATACACTTTTCTGCCACAAATGATGCATATTAAACCTAATGCTGAGAGTGCACTTTTTATTATTCTGGAAATAATTGACCTGTCTGTCAGTTTGTAAAAACATTCTGTGCCAAGTTATGTCTAATTGTCTTGTCATAATCATCTAAAGGCAGTAAACTTTGTAACCTTTGCACAATATATGCAAGGAATACCAGAGAGGGAGCATTTACAGAGAATCTTAAATAAAAACACGATTGAATTAATTAATATTCTTATTGGCCCCAAACATTTAAAACGGTGCACTAACAAAAAGATTACAATTAAATTAGCAAAAATATAGGTTTCACAATTATGATTTAAAACACTTTGGAATGTCTTGCCCCACATATTTTTGTTACGAGGTAAACACATTTCTTGCAGAATGAAGGATATGAAATTGTCTGTGCTAATCAACAGCATGTCACAATGTAAATAAAGCTTAACTTGAGCCATGACTCTAATATGCTTACAATTCAAATCATACTATAAAAAAAAATACTAGAAAGATTGCAAAAACTGGTTCAAAAGCACGTTTTACGCTGAATGATGAAGCAAACGTTGACTTGGCAGTAGGAGTTCCAAGCGTACAGTTGATTACATGGCTTACTGATGATGTTGCTTCCCCAGTCTTACAGGATACAATTAGCATTGATTTACAATGCAGTCCTAATCTACTAGACGGCAGACGCCATCATTTCCAACACAATCTGGGAGATTGCCTGTGCGTCCTTAAACGAGCAAGCAAACTTAAAGATGAGATCCAACCGAAAGACTTGGACAATGGCTTCTTTTTCATAAAGCCTATGAAGCTTTCAAATGGAAAAACACCACCTGCCCATGCAAAACAGCCTGTGCTTTTTACAGATGACTGTGGTCATTCAATGAGCCCAAGATCAATAATCTATCACGTTAAAGCTGTAAACGTTAAGTGAGATGATTGTAGCAGCTGTGGTGATGAGATCTCAGATGGAAAGGTTGCATGAAGGGTAACATTTATGAGAGTCTTTTAAAGCTCGCTGGATCTCACCTGCATCCCAATGATGGCGTATATGAAGAAGAGCATTGCAATGAGGAGACACACATACGGCAGAGCCTGAGGACAAAATACAGTTATTTTACAGACAAACAATTGTTTTGAACTGTCGACAATGTTGTCTAAGCTGTCCAAGTAAAGTCAAAGGTCAATTTCTGACCTTAAAGGACTGAACAAAGGTCCAGAGCAGGATGCGAATGGTGTAGCCCTGCCGTAGGAGTTTAATGAGACGGGCGGCCCGGAAGAGTCTCAGGAAACTCAGATTAATCCTCTTATCCTGGATACAAGCAGAAAGAGAGATCAGAGACGCATCGCTGGAACTGTATTTAAACCCGAGACAAGGACACATCCTCAATCAAGTCAGTGTCAGCAACGGCCTCTGTTAGATTTGTTAAGTTTATTGATAAGGTATTAAAACTAGTTAGTCTCATGCAGGACAAAGTTGTTCATAGTCTGGTAATGATGCATGAATAGTCTTGCATGAACATGCTTTTAAATAGAAATAAACAAATCCGTTAGGGATGGGCAGTATGACCACAGTAAGATATTATATCACAGCAGGGTTTTTATTGGTAACTAAAACTAAAAAATAATAATAATAAATTGAAATAAAACAAATATTAACATTAAAATATTAAAAAACCTAGGGCCAGATTTACTAACAACTTGCACCAGCGCAAACCATCTTTTGGCATTAAAATAATACTGTCAGGATTTACTAAAGACACACAGTGAAGAATTAGAGCTGAAAAGGCGTGGACAGTTAATTTTGCGCCTGAACTTATTAAATATACATTTTAAGGAGTTTCCCTTTCAGCCGCGAAATTTATGGGAGGAGAGTATTAAAATGAATCATGCAATGCAATTTACTAATGTTTGTGCTCATCAAATTACTGGTATTTGTGCAATTATGTAATGCCCCAAAAAAGCATGCCTTAAACTATTTTGCGCCTGTGATGAGCATCGGTTCTGCTTATTTGTGACTACGCTAATGTGCACTTCACTTGGTATACTGCGTTGGTCGATATGAAATGAGATGTTGCGTCTGTGTTCTTTAATTTGCATGTTGTCAGTAAATCATACGCAGAAATTTCCACGCCCATCGGCGCTGTTTTGAAATTGCCCTGTTTAGTAAATCTGGGCCCTATTTTTTATTTTACTTACCAAAGCAAAACATTCATTCAAGCTGAAGTACTAAAATAACTTAAAAAAGGCTAAATAAAATAAAAGTATATAGACACAATTAATAAAACACAAAATTACTAAAACTTGAATTAACTCAAATTAAAATAGAAAATAGAAACATTGTTTAAAATATTAACAAAATGTAATTTTGTTTATCAACGATTAAATACTGCTATCCCAGTAACCGTATATATATCTATATAAATTCTACAATAGTTCACAAATGAAAGATACTTTTTTTTCTTTTTATACGGAATTTAGTAGACACAAACCAATGAAAGATTATTCATAACTAACCTGAGAAACAAAGACCTACGTTAAAAACAAAACTTCACAGTATACGGCCCATATATATACCACACATCCCTAATCTTTTAATACTGGAAAAGGGAAAAAATAGGGAAAATCTGTTCATCACTGTGAATAGATCTTACATAAAACAACAACAACAAAAAACCCTTTGCATCTCAGCATGGTGCTGGATTGAACCGAGTCTGATCTCAGCAGGTATAAAGGTGAGCATTCAAGATTAGCATAAAGAGGTTTGAGAGGAGGAGAGGTTTGGACAGAGACAGGCAGTGCAGGAGCGATGAAGCCACTTACCGTCTGCGCAGTCCGTTGGGAAAAGGAAGGGGACAGGTGCCAACAGAGATTTAGCATGGAAATAAGAGTCACAGTGAAATCGTTAGGAGAGGCCGGAGTCTGTCTCTGACATGCAGAGACGCAGCTGTCAAAACTCATTGGTAGAGATCTCCGGATTGTCATCTTCAGCAGATGATTTGCTCTTATAACAGGTTGAATGATTAAGGGCTGAACCAAATTCATTTGAAATCATCTGGTGCAAAGGTTGCATTGAGCTAAATGTGGTTTAAAAGTGCCCATATTTTATTCAAAATGTATTATATTTACTTTTGCGTGCAGTGCTATTATATAGTATTATACGAAAAACTACAGAAATTTCATAGATTTTTTTGAAATCCACGAGTTTTGAAAATGTTACATTTTGTATGTTTTCCATGGAACCCTGTCAAACTGTCCCCATGATTTTAACAACAGACAAACTGAAAGCAGACTATAACTGCAACACACGTGACCAAAAAAAAAAAAAAAAAGCTGAAAGCTCACAAAGCGACAAAGTTAAGCTTTTTGAGGTTCTCATCTGAAACATCCACTGCAGTAAGTTATATTATTCAAAACATCTATCATATATGTGTTGAGATTTAAACTGATTTTATTTAAATACCTTTGAATTTTGGTTCTCAAACGCTTTGATGTGTCTCTTTGATGACTCACCTCGATCTCAGTAACCAGGATGTCAGTGATGCTCCCCAGCACAGTAACAAAGTCAAAAATATTCCATGCCTCCTTCAGGTAGTTCTGCACACATTTAGAAAAACATAAAACTACAACAATTAAAATCAAATTACACCACAAACATCTTAAACAGTATCAAAAGCATAATATCAAATACATTAACATTAACAAAACCATAGGTTCAATAACCTTGGGTTAATACAAGCTCCCTTCTAAGATACCTAATTTTAGCCAAAATCCAAATGATATAAATCATAACATTCGAGTGAAATTTACAATGAATGTAATTTACATATATATATATATATATATATATACACACACACAAACACACATACATAAATAATATATAAACTATTTTTCTATTATAATTGTAAATAATTATAACAAATTGCTAAAATTATTATATTCTATTTAATATCAAAATTAATTTATTTTTATCATTTGTAAAAATTGAGTACTATTATTTATTATATTTACATTTTAAAAGCTTAAAAGCATGCTTTATCAAACTAGTTCAAAAGCAAGTTATGAGCTTTAAAGGAACGGTAATAGTTCCAAACCTGTATAAGCTTCTTTCTTATGTAGAACACAAAAGAAGATAATTTGAAGAATTTTGAAGAACCAAACAGTTGTTGGTCCCCACTGACTTCCATAGTAGGGAACGAAATACTATGGAAACAGCAAAATAATATAATTTAGATATTATTATCTAATACTTTTACTTTTAACTCATGCCGTTCCAAACTTGTATAAGTTTCTTTCTTATGTTGAACACAAAACAAGATATTTTGAAGAATTTTGAAGAACCAAACTGTTCTTGGTCCCCATTGACTTCCATAGTAGCGGAAGAAATATGGAAGTCAATGGGAACCATCAACTGTTTGATTACCAGCATTCTTCAAAATATCTTCTTTTATGTTCAACATAAGAAAGAAACTCATACAGGTTTGGGACGAGTAAATGATGACAAAATTTGAATTTTTTTGGTGAACTATCCCTTTAATTTCAGTTATGATGTTGCATTAAAAGGCAGGTGCTGTAGATGGTAATTCAGAGCTTTTCAGCAGAGCTGAATTTTTTTTGAATGAATGAATTATAATTACTCCACTTTAACTGTACACTTATTCCTTAGAGAGCTCTTTTGCCATTTTGATTTTGATTTAGTTTAAGTATGGACCGTTTTTACTTGTGAAGACAATTCTTTTTTTAAATCTTTTACAATTCTAGTGAGGACAATGTGGCTCTTACAAATATAGAGAATCATACACGTACAAACTCAGGCAGACTGAAATGCAGAGATTGTCGAGTTGTATAATAGATCTTTCATGGCAGGACAGTCTGTCAGGTGTCTTAGCCTTGGGTTCATGCCTCTCCTGAATGGAGCAAAGATTAGTCGACTGCTGTTAGACATGGATCCCAGACAGAACAACATGAGCGAGACCCATTCATCAACCCTGAGCCCCGAACAGGTGGAGGTAAACGCAAGCATCACGCACCAGAAAAGCTCTTAATAAATGAGCCTCATAAATGGAAATGGTGCTTGAGATGAGACCTTCTGCTGCAGGTCAGACCAGCCGGCACTGAAGAGAGATTTATGATACATTGCACACACCACTGCTCCTACTGTACACCCAACCACACTCTTCTCACCCACCGGGCCTTCATTAGCCTCTCGCTGATTTCACAGTTCTTGCACTGCCGAAAGCCCTGCGGGCTGGTCAATCAACCAACAGGGCTCCACTTTTCACTCAAATCAGTCATTCATACTCTTACTTTATTCAGCTCCTCTCAAATTTGAATCAAACTAGTTTTGAGCTTTTATTATCAGCAAAAAGTCTGGTCCACCTTGCAATTTATTCTGCACTATTAGACAGCAAAATTTATGTGCTGTATGCATTGCAGATAAATATGTTTTTATTTATGTTTTTTTTTTTTCAGATATTGTATGTTTTTGCATGGCAGATGTTTCCCACTCCAATAAACGAAAGCCCCAATGCATGGTGTTTTGTTGACTGTAACAATGAGTTAATCAAGTTTTATCAAAAACGTTCTACCAGTTTAAATATGAATTGTGTTGATACCAGAATACTGGAAGAAAAAAATTGTTACGTGGTAAAGCCTGAAATGACTAAAGTGCAGTGGGGTTTTTTTGTAAACTGACTGAACTTTCACAGTCTTGCTGTATGTATTTGTGCTATACGTGGATCGAATGACTAGTTTCGTATCAAACACTGATTGTAATGATAAAATATAAGTAATATCAGAGTCTCTCCATTCTCACCAGAGGGCCGAAGGCAATGACCTTGAGAATGCACTCCAGCGTGAAGAGAGCCGTGAAGATGATGTTCAGCCACTTCAACATGTCCTCATACGGATTAGGAGCATCATGGAACTACAGAAGAAGAAAAACACGGAGAGATAGTGACTCACTCTGCACTCCCTCAAATATTCAAAAGATCTGTAAACCAGGCTTTCAGGGGTCTAAAATTAGAAATGACATATTCATAACTGAATATTCACGCACATAATTTCATATGCAATAATCAGCATTGCTGAGTCTCAGTCTGTGTGATGGAATGGCTCAGTGTTTGTCTACAACTTAAAAATAAAGATTCCAAAAGGTGGTTCACAGCAATGACATAGAAGATTCATTTTTTACCTTCATCATGAGGACCACTGTGTTGATGGCGATCATGGTCAGGATGGAGTACTCAAACGGAGTGGACACCACAAACTTCCATATCTTGTACTGGTAAGACTGCTTGTCCTGCGGCATGTAGCGTGTCAGAGGTTTGGCATTGATGGCAAAGTCGATACAAGCTCGCTGTAGATGAAATCAAAGCACAATTATCTCAACGTGAACTCCTCAACAAAGTGTTGAAGTGAATGCCTACAAGCACAAAACTACTCATCACCCTGATCTTTCCATGTTTGATTACCAAAACAGCATTGGTATTCCCAGAGCTCTCTAATCAAACGAATGAAAGGCTGTGAACGAATGAGTGCTAGAAGACAAACATCAAACCAGCTGCACAAATCAGAGTTACAGCAGTTTAATATTTAAACAGGCTAATATCTCCTCTGAGAGAAGATACAGATATATAGATAAAGAACAGAGACAAATATAGAGACATCAGAAAAAATAGATTATCGCGCTGTTCAAAAACCAAGTGCTGCATTATGACGTTTGGCAGTTAAACTGACCCTAACTGGACCCTGAAATTACAAAACAGTAAGTAGTAACCATTACAAATAGACAACAGTATTGTATTATAACAAAATTATGATTTACAAAACAAATAAAAAGTTAACTAATTAACATTTTCTAATTTAATTCTTTAATTATTATAAATGCATACAGAAATTACAACTACTAGCACTACCTGCTAAAAAACCTGCATCTTAAACCAGCATAAGGTGGTTTAAGATGGTTGAGAGACTGGTCTGTTGGCTGGTTTTAGAGAGGTTTTGAGCACTTTTCAGTTAATCAGGCAAGGAGACCAGCTGGCCATCCAACTAAACACCCGCTAGTTTCTATGCCTATGTAAAGCACTTCAAATAAAATATTAATGATGTTCAATAACAGTTTGGACAACAATACAGCTTAATAGGTTTTAGAACAAAGCCAGAGAGTTCAAAGAGTTCTGACTGACTGGTCTGGTAGTTCCTCCTGGGGTTTAAGTTTGTGCTTT